GGGGGGGGGGGGGCGAAGATCTTGATGACCACGAAGAAGGTACGAAACAGTACTAAAACACACATTTTTTTCTCTGATCCGATTCCGCTATTTTCTCACGTCCACAACGAAGCTCGTCTTGTCGGGAGGGCGTAGGGTGGCCACGGGGTTCGAGCTTTGGCTCGCGTCGCGTGCCTTGACGTTGCCGCCGCCGGCGTTGCGACCCACCAGACTGCGTGATTTCCACAGCTTTACCGGCTCCTGTTTCGAGAAATTTGTGTAACAAAAAAACGAAAACATCCGGGGGGGGGGGGCACTCATAGTCGTGCATGCCATAGTCGTTAGACCATTGACCTCGCATCCCTACAAAGCCGGGACGGAGCACGCCGGGTTCTCACCGGACCAGGCTCTGGAGGGGGGTGTGTACTCATAGTCGTGCATGCCGTAGTCGATAGACCAGTGACCTCGCATCCCTACAAGCCGGGACGGAGCACGCCGGGTTCTCACCGGACCAGGCTCTGGAGGGGGGTGTGTACTCATAGTCGTGCATGCCGTAGTCGATAGACCAGTGACCTCGCATCCCTACAAGCCGGGACGGAGCACGCCGGGTTCTCACCGGACCAGGCTCTGGAGGGGGGTGTGTACTCATAGTCGTGCATGCCGTAGTCGATAGACCAGTGACCTCGCATCCCTACAAGCCGGGACGGAGCACGCCGGGTTCTCACCGGACCAGGCTCTCACATCATCAAGTGCGAAGCGCCGTGAGGTATTCGGCGAGTCGCATGAAGGGTGCGCTGCATCCTGCAAAGTGGGTTCGGCGCCTTGTGCTTACTTCCTTGCATACGGATGACAGCTGCGTATGACTAAAATTATTTTCTGGTGCTTCACTTCCAGAGACAGTTGTAAGCACTGTGTAACTGCCTCGAGAGTGCTTGACCATTTTACACGACGTGGTGCGATCATCCCCCTTGCGCGGAGTGATGGTTCCCCACCCCGCACAACATGGTCTACGCGACCACCACTATGGATACCGCCAAAAAAAAAAGAAAGAAAAACGGAAACCTGGTTGCCGAGTTCACGAAGCGAATTGGCTTGTTTTACAACGTCGTTGCCAAGCGACGAAAACCCAATCCCGATGGCAAACGGGAGGAGGCTCTGGGGGGGGGAGTTTTTTTTTTGGTGCTTCACGAACCCCCCAAGATATCACCTCTCAGCGAAAAAAATAAAAGAACCGATGTGAAAGCCGAAAACCTGTCCGCAGCCCCTGGAGCACGAACGCCTCCGTAAAATGCAACAGGGAGTGAGTGGTGAGCCGGGGATACTTTTAGTCTTCATCCCCTCAGAAGGTTTCGACGACTCGATGGATTGTACATCGCCACGCTGCTGTACGTGCAGCAGCAGTAGCAGTGTGTCTCCGCGCCCGATCATGTTTACCACAAGTATCCAACACGTTTTGAAAGGGACCAAACACAGAAGAAAAAAATTGCCTCACCAAAAGTTTTGAAAACGACAACAAAACAAACGAAGAGCAACGACGGAACGGGAGGCAAGGACGCGGTCCGCAAAACCGTGGCCGAACACAATCATCGAAAGAACGAAAATTTTACACGGAAAGCGTCATGACAAAAAAAAAAAAAACTGCATGAGACAGAAGCGGCTGCAGCAGCAGCCACCGCAGAGGCAATACAGCAGTCATTAGTANCGGAAAGCGTCATGAAAAAAAAAAAAAAAACTGCATGAGACAGAAGCGGCTGCAGCAGCAGCCACCGCAGAGGCAATACAGCAGTCATTAGTATCTATCTCTTCCCGTACTATTTTGTACAGCGGGACAAAAAAAAAAACGCACACACACACACACTTGTGGCGAACTATGTACCCGGCTGATATTGTTGCGCTCTGTTTCCCTCCCTGCTGTATGCTACACTCCTTTATGTATGTCCTTTGCATTGCCTTCGGCCTCTGTGCTGTGTTTCCTTTTTTTCATGACCTCCCTGCCTACTTTGCTGTGTTGGGTACCTTGATCTCGCTTTGCTGTTGCCTTTGTTTTTGTACGTCTGGCTGTCTGCCCATCTGCCGCCTCTTTGTCCTGTTTGCTCCGTTACTCCCATGCCCTGGTGCGTAGTGCCTGGTGCTGGTACGTCACCCTTTGATTTTTTCTTTGGGCGGGTGTGGGAAGCGTCCTCCTTTATTTTTGTTTTTGTGTTATTTTGATCGGTTTCCGAGGGCTCTTTTCTCGAACGGTCGGTGCGATACCTGTTCTTTTCTTTTCTATCATTTTGTTTTCTTTTTCCGAGTGGTTTGTACCCTATTTTTGTTTTGTTTCCCCGCGGCGTCGTGTGTGCCGGGTTTTGAGACCACGGGCTCCCCATTTTTTGTGGACTATTGGGCTAATGTGAGAAACAACAACAACAACAACAACAACAACAACAGTTGATGGCATTTAGAAGTGTTCTTGATTTTCACACGCACTGAGACTGCCGTCTTTTCATTGGTCAGCCGGTTAGCGCGGTCGATGCTTGACGTAAAAAAAACGCGCGCGCGCACACACACACACACACACGCACACACACATCTCCTCACTCTCACCCCCGCACTGTCCGACCAGGTGGCGACTATCCTAGGGTCCTCCGGCAGCACCGCGATACCGACAACGCCCCCCTTGTGGACCTCCATGATGCGGAGAACGGAGTTGCTGCTGTCGGCGCTGCGAAGGGCATCGTCTCTAGCGGTGCGGAAGAAAGGGTGGGGAGGGGGGGTGCGTGAGACGGGTCCATAGGTTGGTCGACGCTACCATCACAAATGGCAAAAGGCGATTGATCATCCCTCCGTCGAGTCGATAAGGTTGTGTGAGCCCGGCGCCAGCAAGCGGCAGCAGCAGCAGCGCCTGCTCTCACCCCCTGCCCCGGACGTCGATGCTCTTGAGGAACTTGGACCCGGTACCAGCCAGGAGCACGGAGTCGGTCCCAGGCAGCCAGGCCAGCGACACGTACCCCTCGTTCAACCCCCCGAGGTCCGCGTGGGTGTTCTCCGCCGCAGCCACGGCGGAATCCCAGCCGCAGTCCCCCTTTTACGGTATAGTTTTTTGGGACAAATGCGAGTTGTTTGCAACAACGGAAAGTCGGCACGCGGAGGGGGTTGTCCACCGTAGGTTACGGATTCTGTACAGAGTGTGGGGTTCGGTGCCGAGTTCCGGCCGTAGCCCGTCTCATTCGGTTGATTTCGTGATGTGGGTTCGTCGGGGGCGTCTTTTCGGGTTGTTTTAAGACAAACACACACACACACACACACACACACACATACACACACACGGCACACAGGCGGCAGCAGCTTCTAGGAGTGCGGGGTTCGATGCTTGGGTGGGTAGGAGGTGTAGGCGTCGACCGTGTTCATAAGGGCTCCCCACCCCCCACACACATACATACATACACACACACACACACACACATACACACACACACATACACACATACGCGCGGACACACAACACATCACCAGCAAACCATTCCACAACGAGCACACCTTAGCGATGGGCCTTGCTTGACCCGCCGGTTGTCAAACGGCGGTATCAAGACAACTCTACAACGCAACACTCAAGGCACACGCACACGCGCGCAGCTTAGCCTCCCTACACCGGGTCACAGCCCATGGCATCTACAAGCATTTCTGTTTGTTAGCCGCAGTCAGGCTGCCGTATTTTCATTGGTCAGCCGGTTAGCGCGGTCCGTGCTGACAACGAAGACACACACACACGCGGAGCACAAACAAAACACCAACCAACTAGCACACCTTCGGGATCGGCCAGATTTCACCAGAACCCGCCGCGCTCCCGCCGCCCGCGACCACCGCTGCCGCGTTGCTGCCGCTGGCATCGAGGAAGTCTACCCTGTTTCCCGTACGACCGCCGAAGCTGTCAGCAGCAGGAGCGGTACCGGCACGCGCCCTGCGCCCCCTAAACCTGGGTAGCATCATTGTTTTTTTGTTGCGGGGGAGAACAAGGGAACAGCCGGACGGCATTATTTTCTTGCTTCACGTACGTAACCGTTCCCGGCAATTTACGACACGTGCTCGGCTCCAAAAGCGAATACCGAAGGTGGGGAGTTGACAACTCTTACGATAAAACGCCTTAAGTTGTACGTAAGGAGTTGACCATGAAGAGCAACAGGAGGGCAGACTAGCGTCCCGTGCCACGGCCTGCAACAGTCGATGTTGGGTTACAGCACCGCCACAAACAATACTAAGAAACGAGCCTCAGGAAAAAACAGCCCGGAAAAAAAATGGCGACCCCGGGGACCTTACAAACGGTGAACAACAACATCGTGGACACGGTGCCAGCCACAATAGCAACCGCAGCAACAACAGCAGCAGCAGCAGCAACAGCAACAGCAGCAACAACAACACGGAAAAGGTACCAGGGCGACACACTTCAACTACTACAGGTTACGATCGAATACAATCTTCTCCCCTTACCTGACAGCAGCAGCGGCAACATCGTTGATGTTGTTGCCGTCGTCGTCAGCGACACCGTCTGTTTCATCGTCGCTGAACTCTTCTGCCATTCTTTGTCCGTTGCCGCTTCCACCGCCGCTTCCGAACCTTGCGCCACTGGTACTCCCGCCCAATGCCATCCCGGTCATACTGCTGAGCATTCCTGCCATCACGCCGCCGCCGCCACCGCTTCCGCCGCCGCTTCCGCCGCTCCTTACGCTACCGAAGCTGCCCACCAGAAATCCGCTTGCTCCTCCTGCGACGGATGGGGCGTGCCGAATCCCACGAGCATTTGTGTGCGTCCGCTCCCTCCCTCCTCTCTCTACCTCTGCCATCCTAACGTGAACTCAGCTGTCACAACACAAACCAAGCCAGTAAATAGGAGGAGGAGCAGGAGCGGGAACGAAAGCGGCGCACAAGCAAGACGGAAGAGCAAGCAAAGGAAGGCAAACAAAGACAACCGCTGCCAATTCCACGCCAGCAAACAGCAACAGCAGCAGCAACAGCAGCAGCAGCAGCAGCAGCAGCAGCAGCAGCAGCAGCAGCAGAAGTTGCTGCTACACATCCAGTCTGCGCACACCACGCTTCCCCCAAAAAGCCACCGCGAGCAATGACTAACCTTCCCGCTGACTCGATGGGGCAGACGTCTTCCTACTGCCGCCGCCGCCGCCACCGTAGTCCCCGCTCGTCCCGACGGCGATCGCCGCGCTCCCCGCCGCCGCCGCCGCCGCCGCCCGACCGCCGTCGTTCCCCCCCGCTCCTCCGGCGGCAGCAGCCGCCGTGCCCGCCGCCGCAACAGAGGAGCGGCTGTCTTCCAGGCTGCCGTTGCTGCTGCTAAGGAATGCTGCCGCCGAGTCTGCGGTCCCCGTCGCAGCCGCTACCGCCGCTGCCGCTTGGGCGGACGAGGCTCCACGTCGCTGCCGCCACTGCCTCACGTAGTGGATGTCGCAGATGGCCAGGCTCTTGTCGCTCCGAGTCTGGTTGTTGGCATTCGAACGGCGGCAGTTAGCAGCAGCGCGGTCGGTTTCGGGATGTATGTGTTATGCTTCATGCTTATGCTCGACGCCAAATAGCTGGAGTCTCTGCTTCTTGTTTTGGACGATAGCAGCAGCAGCAGCAGCAGCAGCAGCAGCAGCAGCAGCTCGACTATTTTCGGTACCTATGGATATAGCGTGTCGTAGGATTGATGGCACATGGAAGCAGTACAACGTAGGCGATCGATCTCTCTGCCCTCGTCGTTTTTTTTCCACCCAGGCTCAGAGCACGAGTTCAGGGAGGGACGTGAACCACGGGCGGAAAGACACGTACTTTCTTCTTCTCCTTGTACAGGGGGTGCGGGGGCACCGTGAAATGAAAGACGCATGTGCCACTTTACTCCACACTACTCTATATACGAGGCGGTAGATGCTAACGCGTGTACAAAAAACCATCCCGACTGTCTTCCCTTTCTCCCTCCCCTCATAACCCGGCATATCACTTCCTCAGTCCCGGCATTTTAGGCATGCAAGGTCGACGGTCTAACGACTACAACGCATTCATATACACTAGCACACACACTCCTTCGCAGTGCTCCGCTCTCTCGAGGACGCATGGTCAATAGTCAAACAGCCAAGGCATGCAAGCCATGAGCACACACACCCCTCTCGAGGACGCGTGGTCTTATGGCCTAACCGCAACGGCATGCGAACCACGAGTATCCCATGCCCCTCCCCCTCCCCTCGATGGCACGGGCGTACCTTGATCCAGGTTCTCTCGAGCACGCATAGTTATGTACCATGAGTGCACCGCCCCCCCTATACAAGCACCGCCGCACCTTGGTCCAGGCAGCGGCTAGGCGTGACGGATTCTCGGGGTCCCAGGCTACGGCCTTGCAGGGACGATTCTTCTTCTCGGCGGGTACTACGCAGACCACCTCTCCGTGTCCAGGTTCGTCGGAGAAGCGCACGAGCCCCACCTGCAAGAAAAACAAAACAAAACAGTTTTTTGTCGCGCAAAAACACGCGCAAGGGTTGTAGGGGGGGGGATGGGAGGGGTGCTCTCATGCGTTGCATGCCTTAGCAGGTAGGCCGTTGACAACGCGTCCTCGAGAGGACGGAGCATCGGTCCACCAAGTGGGGGGGAGCGGGGGGGCGGCGGGGGTAACGGGTTGGAGCGCCACGTTGGCCGCTAAGTCAATCTGCTGTTTCGAGTCTCCTTGAGGCTATTCGGTGGGCGGCCCGAGGTGCGTCTTTCTACATGGCGCCGGCTGGTGGTGGAGCATGCAGGGGTTGCTGCTGCGGGAGCAAGGTGGCCTGGAGCCGCCACGCCATGCTCACACCCCAGGCGAAAAAAGTGAACGCAAACGAAGAGGGACCCACGGGACGGGAGGGAGGAAGGGAGGGGTGGGGGGTGCATACAAGTAATAAATCTTGTCCCTGACGTGACGTTGAGACATGCTTGGAACATGTTCTGGTTGGTGTCAAGGTTGTCGAGGTGAAGCGTTGTTACCCCCTGGTGTAATCAAGACCAGGGCAGCGAAGAAGCACACGCCTCGCCGAGAATTGCAACAACCGCTCTGTGCCAAACGAAAACTGCCTTCCGCGATGTCGGTAACGGAAAACCCCCTGATTGATACGGGGGGAAAAAGCGTCATAAACAAAATCACCGTCGAGGACTGCTCGAAAGGCGACAGACAACGGCTTGCGCTGCAACAACAACGACGGTGCCAGAAGCAGCCACGCTGCCACAGCAGCCACAGCAGCGGCAGCAAGAGCCCACGAGCACCCAGCGAGCACAATAAACAACCAACACGCCCAGCAGCGGCACTTCTACTGGTATTGCGTTCACCTTCCCGCTGGAATAGCCGACGGCGAGCATGCGAATGTCGGCGTCGCCCGTCCCCATGCCGTCCCCGCCGACCGTTTCCGAGTGCGGGAACCAGCTCATGCATGTCACGTGCCCGTCCTGCCCAAGCGAAAAACAGACGACCACGCAGCAACAGCAACAAACAGCCGTGTGTGGAGATATGAGGCGTGGGGGACAGGGCAGAGCAGGCAGAAAATCAACAGTTCTCTACACAGAAGAATGCGTGAACGGCGAGGCGCGTGCGTCAAACGAAGCGCTCTTGCGATGTGTTTCAGCAACCATCGCAGGTGGGGTTCAAAAGGGGCATGAGACGCGAAAATCGACGACGGGATATTTGCACAAAAAAAAATATATGGTATTTGTTCATCACCTTCTGCTTCTTCCACCGTTTGCTTCTCCCTTCGAGGTGGTACTTCCACTCCCGCTTTGTCGACCCCGTCGCCGCCGCCGCCGCCGCCGATGTCGCCGCCATGACGCTCCTAGCGTTCCCTTGCTCCGAATACACCGAAGACGGTTTCCGGGGGCCCAGAGGATACCCCGCGAACTCCCCCCCACCGCTACCGCCGGCCACCCCTCCATCTACACCGCCGCCCCCGCCGCCGCCGCCGCCGTTGCCGCCAAGCGCTGGGGCGGCGGCGGCGGCAGCTGTCGTCGTGGCCGCAACCCTCGCCGTCCCCGCAACTCCGGCCCGAAACGGCATGTTCTGCTGCTGCTGCTGCTGCTGCTGCTGCTGCTGCTGCGAGAAGCCCCCGCCCGCCGCCCCCTGAGCCCCGCCGCCATCACCGCCAGCGAAAGGGTTTCCATACCCCCCGCTCACGCCACCGCTGCCGCCGTAGGATGGCTGCGCGTTGGAGCCCACCCCCGCTCCTCCTCGCGACGCCGCTGCTGATGCCACCCCAGCGGCACTACCGCTAATGCCGGCGACGCCGCCGCCCACCGCCCCTTCCGCGGAGAGTTGCTGCTTCAGGTGGTGGTGATATTCGGTTCCCGCGCCTGCGAACGGGTTCTCCGGGCCGGAAACATTGCCGAATACGTCGGCACTACCGCCGCCGCCGCCGCCGCCGCCGCTGCCGCCGCTGGAGAACGCGGCCGACGATCCCCCGTCCCCACTGCCACCGGCGGCGGCCCCGCCTCCTCCGCTTCCGCTGGCTAACCGTCGCACCCTGGCGGCGTCCGCGGCTCCCGCCGTCGCGACCGTCGGGACCGTCGCCGGTGCTGGTACGCCCGCAGCAGCAGCAGCGGACGAAGGCTCTCTAGTATCCATGACGCCGGTCGCGGCGGCGGCGGCGGCCAACGACAGCCCGGCAATTGTGCCCCCGCCGCCGCCTTCAGGTGCGCTTGGGTCGTAGAAAGTCTTTGAAGCCGCCCGGTATGTCTTCATTTATTTTTTTTCCCCCACACGCAACGAACGGGCACGCACAAAGAGACCATAACAATTTTCCGGCAGAAGGAGGACGGGCATGCGGGCTAAATTGGCGACCACAGGGAAAAGTGAAACACCTGGGGGGGGGGAGGGAGCCTCAGCGCCAGCTCGACGTTTCCTTCTTCTGGACCGTTCACGCACTAGATCATCGTCGCGCAATCTACATGCCACTGCAGTCCTCAAACCACACACAACATCTCCCAATGATTCGATTGAGTGCGCAGCTACATCATGTTCAAGTGGGAGAAGGCGGGGCGCAGGGGGCACATGCTTCGCGCGCGGCATTTGGCAGGGCCGGTAGCATGCAAGGCGAACGCTACATGAGAAGCCGCGAAATTTTGCTAACCCGAAGGTGAATAAGAACGGTGGTAGTCACGGAGACGGGGGGGAGGTTCCTGGCTTTCTGTCGTCCATGCGATGCCCCCCCCCTTTCATTTCGCTCAAGGCAAGACGGGAGGTGAAAAAAGGGGAAGGAGTCGAAACGGAAACATGCCATGTTCATCATCCCCTTTCTTTTCGCTCAAAAGGCTGTGCAGGTGACGGCAGTGCGGCCAAACACGCGACATTTACCAAAAAAATAATGTAGAATACATACATCCGTACACAGAACTATCTCGAACTAGCATTCGTCGTCCTCGTCATAAGCTCCACGTTCTCACCCCTTGCTGCACCTGCTGTTGCTGCTGCTGGTCCCCGCCCGAAGGCCGGCGATCATTCACGGAGCCCCTCGGCCCCGGCAGCTCGGCGTCCCCCCCAGGCACAGACCAACTGACACGGTAGAGATCGATGCCGCTCCTCTCTCTCCCGCTGGAGTAGGCGAAGTAGTTGGAGTAGACGGGAGACCACTGTACCAGCGGCGGCCCGCCCCCCCCCGGCGATGCCCCCCCGCCGGCCCTGCCGCCGCTGCCGCCACTGGCGGCCCTCTCCCCTGCCCCTAATACCGCCTGCTGCTGGGCTATCATCTGTCCTCACTCCGTCTCTCCCTCTCTCTTGTTGCTCCTCGCCGAAGCTGATTGTCGTCGGTTTCTCGGCTGTGGGAATTTGGCATCGTTGACAAAAACGCAGCAATGAATGACACATTGTGCCCTAGTCAGGGTGCATACGCACAAAGCGTCATCAGCGCGTGCTTAGGCGTTTTAATTGGAGAATCGGTACCGGGGCGGCGGGCAGACGGGATATAGTACTCCATCCATGGGAGGCTCATTGAAAACGGCACCCTTGAGCTGGGGCTTGTTACAGAATATGTGCGACGATGTGATGCGCACCGCTACATCGCTACGTTCATTGCTGCCTTCGTATCATCCTATGGATGCACATGTATCGATTAGATTGCCTGTCCAGCGCCGGATCTCGGGGGATTCTACACAGACACACACCTCGTGTGCCGCACAAGTTTTTCACAGCAGTCTCCGAAAACCATTTGACTACTGCTGTAGATTGTCATACAAGCAGACAAGTCTACGTCGTCGATGCCAACGCCTTACCATCTTAATGTTTGCATTGCACACTGTACAGGTATTCACATCCCGTACAGATTTTCCGCTGGTGGATTTGGTGGGGGGGGGACTTCTAGGACTTTGGAGAGAAGGACGACTTTTTCATGACGGGGTCGGCGTGTAGCATCGCGGACAACGGACAACTAATAACGATATGACATGGTTTTGGACAATATGATGCCCAATGCAATGATTCAACCGCCGTTGCGACGACCTCTCGGCTACTCCTGTGCTCCTGCTGGTGGATATAGTACATATGGTAGCAGTTACCAGCGGGTGTTTTGTTTGTTTGTTTTTCTCCCATCGTTGGACTCTGTCGTCTGCCCCTCTGGCCCCATTCCTCCACTTCTACAAGCTAGACGACCCAGCCGGCGTCACATAGGAGCGGGGGGGTTGGACCTCCTCCTGCGGTTCATGCCTGAGGTATTTTTTTATCGCGAGAAGGGTACAGCAATTCCTTCCATCGCGACTTACGCAGTCGATTATGGTTTACGAGCTTTGCGGCGCGTCGCTTTCATCCTAGACCAGGATTTATTTAGTGAGAAAAAAACCTCTCTCTGCCGGGACTCGAACCCATGACCTGGCCCTAAGCAGGTTGCGAGGCTACCCACTAGATCACCGCGGCGACCGATAGGGCGTGTTCGCACATGATTATTTAATTCACTGCGAGCTGTTCGTATACTCTCTGTGTGCATGCAGTATGTAGTTCCTTCCGAGATGAACAGGATTGTGAATGAACACTGTAGGTTGACAAAAATCGACGCCGTTCCCTCAATGCCATCAATGGTGAGATGTGCGGTTGGCACACTCCATCCTGAGAGGTGCTCGTTACACGCCGCTGCTGTTACCACACGGCTATAATTGTAACAGCCGGAGCAACGACGGCTCAGCATTCAAATACTTCATCAGCGTTTTTTCGGGTGCAGCAACCTCACCTTCCTTTCGGTCCTTTGCACACCATGCAGGTCGGTTGTTCTGCTGAACTCGCTGCGTCTGTATCCCTCTCTCGCCTCCCCCCACGAGCAGCAGCAAGAGCAGGAAACAATCGAGACGAACTCACTACTCGGCTAACGAACTGCCACACACACACCACACACAGACACAGGAGCATGGCATGCACACGGGCAACCGGGGCTCCGCGATTTCTATAATCCCCACCCTCCCGCCTCTTTCTCCCTGTGTGTGCGCTGGTCGATCCACCCTCGGCCTGATCTTCACACCATCTGCTGTCTTTTCTCTTTCCCCTTCCGCCGCCACCTCTCCCTCTCCCACTCCTCTCAACAATGAAGCTCACCTCTCTGTTGACGCTGGCGGGCTTGGGCGCAGGGTCGGCCTTCGTGGCTCCCGCCACGGCCTTCCACGGCGCGGGCGTGGCGGCCATCACGGCTCCTCGAGGCAGCTCCTCTGCTTCATGCCAGATGATGGCACGGGTGCCCTTCATCGCAGGCAACTGGAAGATGAATCCCCTGGACGTGGACAGCGCGAAGGACCTCGCCAAGTCGGTGAGAGCTGTCGCTACAAGATTTTGCTCTCCCCCCTTCCCCCCTGCTGCTGTACGCCCCGCCCCGTCTGTGCAGGATTTGTGTGTGTGTGCGTGGGATATAGGATGGCATACCTTTTCTCCACACGTATGCATGTGGCCTCGTCATGATGATCCCCAGCCTTAGCCTTCCTACCACTTTACACGGGCACCGCGCGCACGCATTTGAGCTTGGCTCTGCTGATGGTGGTTTCCAGGCTACTACTGCTGTGTAGGGCCGCGGAATACCAGCGAAGTGGTACCACTTTCCATCCCGTGGCGTGAGTTGCACGCGGGACATGGCACAGAAAGGGCCTGTAGACTCCTGCTGCTTGTGTGTTTTTGCGCACACTCAAGGAAACATGACAACGGCGCTACGGGGGGGGCGAACTCCGAACGGAAAGCGCGTGGCGTTGTTGCGTTTTTGGTGTTGCCCGACTGCCAAGTGTGTGTGACCGCTGGAGGGAAGCTGTTGTAGACATGTCTGGTACGGAAGAGTGAGCGTTCCTGGCACGCCGGGCGCACGGCGCTACTACTACAATATGTATATGGCTTGAGTTTCATTGCGTGCCACACAGAGCGCATGCGCCCTTGATCGCGCAATCCAATCTAAGATCGAAGAGGGACTGGAGGGTGTCAATAAAATTAAGGAGAAATAAATACACCCACAGAAAGACTAATAACATGAACGGGGGCGGGGTGATTTTCACGAACCATATGCATACCTCTCTCTGAAGAGGGTATGTTACGTGCTCGCAAGACATGCGCAAAGATAGCTAGCTGCACAATGTCCCTCGCTTGTTTTGCGGGCCACCTCCTCCCCTATCATTTTTAGCGTACCAGCTGAGGTGCACAGCAGGATCCCAGCCCGTTCCGACTTGACAGCGCTGGTACCGCAGCAGATTGACAGCAGCAAGGCGACAGTAGCGTAGCAGTACCTTTGTAGTACCGCCGAGCACCCACCACCGTTCGTTCCTCATGTTTGTGGTGGCTTGGTTCTTCGGTCGGTTTTGCTGTTTGTATGTAGTGTTTATTGGGAGATGTGCGACACGGTCCTTTCGTGTGCATGGACACGACTATTCATTCGGAGCTTCGTGCAGCCGAAATGGAAACACATACGCGTAGCGCTGTTATTATAGGAACATCCAGCGATGCTGTGGCCGTACTATTCATACAACATGATCGATTTTGAAATTTTTGGGCACGGCGGTTGGCGTTTGACAGCAAAGGCGCGCGCGGGGGAGGGGTGGGTTGGGGTGCACCACACGGATGTAGCAGGCGCTGGTTTGTAATGCTATACCTCTCTCGTTCTCTGCTGTCGGCCAACTTCACGACGCATAGCACACGAAACACTCCTCATTGGTGAGGCCTGCGGGTATAGCGTACCAGTCCCTGTCCGTCGTATGGTCAGTCCAGGACAATTTGTCCATTTTGATTTTTGGCTATAACTTTCGAAAAAAAACGAATTGAAACGTGAAACAACATTGGCCGTGACGGCGGCGTCGAGCTGCGTCGATATCCGACGAGTTTTTGTTATTTGGGCAAAATGCGACATTTCTCGCTAAAATGATTCACGAAACCCCCCCTTCACCCACCCACCCACGGGGCCCCCTAACCACACCACGGACCCCCCGAAGCACGTAGAACAACGCAGTAAAATGCCGTAGCACTCAAGGCACGCACCACGCACCCTGTACAAATGTAGCTCAATACAGTAGTGAACGCCACAAAACCAACAACACGAACACCACGACACACCGTCTCCGCCCAAGCGTGCGCGTTCCGAATAGCTTATTTTTTCAGCAGCGATCTCCACGACCTCCACGCACCCTGCAAAAAAAAACTGTCGCTGGTCAAACGCACGAGAAGCGAGTTCAGCGCTTGTTTCTGCTTCCACGCCTTGACATTCTTTTTAGCGCTTCTAACCGACTCAGTGCGCATCTCCTGCGCGGCTGCTAGCGCCGTCGTAGGGCGTGTGGGCGAGGGTTGCGCCTTCGCAAAAGAGCAATGTGGCTGTGTGTGTGGCTGGTATGTGGTGTGTGGGAAGAAAAAATTAAAATTCCGCCCACCGGCAACAACAAAATTTGGCACATCTCGCGAACCAGATTTTTTTTGAAAATCGGAAAAAAGTTGAGTCTGAGGCATTTCGAAAGGAATCGATCGCCGTGGTCTATGTCAAGCTCTGTGGTTGAATAGCACCGATAAAAAGTGAACAAAATGGTCTCTGAAATCCAGTTTTCCGGCCATAACTTGTTTAATTTTTATTAAAATCAAAATCGGAAAAAAGTTGAGTCTGCGGAATTCCAAGAGCTGTCCAAATCCGGTCTCAAAATTGTGGCCTTAGAAAATACACCCCAGGAAAAAGTGGACAAGATTTCCCGGTTATATGCAAATAAAGACGAACCGAGAACAAAAAACTTTCCACAGGGACGTGTGCCTGGAGACAGGGCGTTTGCCGGCACTTTCGGTTTTCGGAACAACTACCTGTGTGCAGAGAAACAATTCGATAAGTGCAGGTCGAAATTGTGGACAATCGGTCCTGGACTGACCATATGTACCGCCGCCGCAGCAGCTGGGGGTGGGACTATGCTGCTCTCTTTCGTAGCCATACGTGCCGATGTACCTCCCGTCGAACACTGCTGTACTTTCGAGGCTGCTGTTCTCTCGTTGATCAGCAAACAAACGTAAAAAAAAATGGAGGCCACGCTATGCATACATGAATAACACTTCCTCCATGTACCACGTATGATGTACATAAGGTTTGGTCACTTTTCAAGCTTCGGCGTTTCTTTCTCTCGCGGCAGCGAGTCTTTTCTCGCGGTTCCTTCTTAGGGGCACGCAGGAGGCTCGTCGGTACATTAATGCCCGTGCCCGGAGCTCGGTAGGCCTCCGTGGCGCGTGTGGTTGACGGCCAAAGTTGCGAAAACTGGCTCAAAACCCCGGGGACGCGTTCCGCGCTGACAACGAGTGGAGAACCAATTCTGAAACCTATCAAACCCATCAAGTACGACGGTTTGAAATATTCATTCGTCCGTTCATTGGTTTATGCGATGATTCATGGCTGTGACTCTTCGTGTCATCGCATTGCCCAACAGCAGTACCTACGTTTAGACAAGTCTGAGGGCATGCATCCAGCCGCCGTGTTGAACATGTACCATTTGGGGTGTTGTTTCGGCTTCAAATTCGGTTCTCATCGGAAATCTGCCATCATCAATCAAAGACATCGTGTAAGTCTGAGTTTTTAGTACTAAAATATTGTCTGCTCGAGCTGGCTCCAATGGAGAATAACAACGTGCGCGATGTTTTGTGCGGAAATACAAGCGTTGTAGGATTAAGGCACAGTGCCTCTCCGGGAAATGCGCGTGTGGTGTTGCTTCACCTGAGGGAAGGTAGATACCCACGTCCCGAAGGGAGACCTTGTGATATGAACTTCTGTTGCTTTTTTTTTGTGTATATATCTTTGCAGGTGTCGGAGGCGACTACTTCTGTAGAGGTGGAGGTGGCCGTCATCCCGCCACACCCTTTCCTCGTGCCCGTCAAGGACCAGGTGAGCAACCACGTGCACATGTGTACGCGCGCGACCGCGCAAGCAAGGCCGCTCGCTGCTGCTCCTGCTGCCGGTGTTGCTGTCGCAGAGAGGGCGTGGGTGTGTTGGGTAGGGGATAGGTGTGTTCGACGGGTGTGCTCGCCCCATATATTTTGGCCCAGATCTATGTACACACCTTCCGGTGGTTGCATGTGTTTGACGCACATTAACCGGTGTCAGAATGGGGTGGAGGGATGGAGAATTTGGATGCATAGTTGGATCCTTGGCAGGCGGAAGGGCACGAGGGACGGGGGATATTTTGGTCGTGTGTTCTTGTGGAGCGGTCGGCGGGTCTGTCATGTTTCTGTTGTTTTGTTGTTGCTGTTGTTTGGGGATCCTTCCGTCACCGGGTGCACGACGGCGGTTGACGCCTCTTTATCCTTTTCGGCAGGGGGCCCGGCAGCATCAGCGTTCGTAGAGACGGGGGTGAACAAGGGCGGGGAAAGAAAACGGCAGGGTAGGGGGGGAGAAACGGAAGGTGCACATAGGCATACCTACGTTTTTTTTTTCTGTCGGGCCGGGCGGAAGACGGAAGCCTGCCTAGGGAGATACTGCTGTCGCACGAAAATAATAAATCTGGCACGGAAATACGTTGTACGTAGTAGCAGACCGGTTTGGCGGGGCGTGGGACAGCATTGCGCGTCTTCGGAGCAGATGAGGCGGGGCTGGGGACGGGTGCTCTGTTCGTAACATGTGTTCCCTGCAGAGGAAACGAACGACGCCCGCGAGAAGAACATTTTTTTTCGGTGTGGGTGGGGGGGGGAGACTCTCGAATGTTTCGCACTCAGCGACGTTTTTGTTTTTGTGTGCTTGGGTATGATGCCGCAGGAGAGCAACATTGCGCTGATGTGTAATTAATTTTTCGTTGTTGTGACGCCTGCCGAGAACTTCCGGAAGGCGAAGAAGCAGGAAAGCAAACGGGCGCTTGACATTTAATCTGTGATGCCTCCCGAGATTTCTGGAAGAACAGAACGACAGGGCGCTCTCTTTCGTGTTGGTTGCGGTGTATTCTCTCCTGCCGATGTGACAGGTGGACGGCGTGGACGGCAACAAGGTCGCGGTGGGGTCCCAGGACCTCTACACCGAGGATGCCGGAGCGTTCACGGGGGCGTCCTCCACGGGTATGCTCGCGTCCGTCGGGTGCGAGTACATCCTGTGCGGCCACTCGGAGCGCCGATCGGTGTTCGGGGACAGCGACGAGATGGTTAACAAGAAGGTTGGTGTTTGGTGTGTGTGGTGTGTGTGTTATCTTAGTTAGCGTTGACGGCGCTTGTGAGTGTGTGTCTTCGTTGTGGGCATCGACCGCGCTACATTATCCGGCGGCTGACGAATGAATGAGATGCCAGTTCCTCCGTGCGGTGAAAACACACAATGCTTCTCGAGCCATGGTCGACATGTTTGTGTGTGTCGATCGACGGCGCTAGCCGGCTGGGTGACCAATTGAATGGACGTCAGGCTGAGGTTGTTCGGGGGAATGCTACGAGATGGTTAAAACTCGGCAGTCTGAGGTTTTTGGTATTCTTGCCACTCCCGCTGCTGCTGCTGCTACTATTGGTATGACAATTCTTCATCGCACCTCTGCGGCGGCCCGTCCGTCTGAAATATCGCCTTCTTGTGTTTTGAGTGGGTGGTTGCGTCCAGCCTCTTTTGCTCTTAGTGTTTTAAGAGAGAGATGAAAGGCTGTTCCAGCGGGACACATTAAAAGGTAACGGAGCTCATCCCTTCCTCCGCCTCCCCCACGCCACGAACCGCATGAAACGGACGACACCATCGGCTCTCTCGAGGGTAGGTGCACAAGGTCCTTGACCAAGGGCTGAAGGCCATCCTCTGCATCGGCGAGAGCAAGGAGGAGTACGAGGCTGGCCTCAACAAGGAGGTGTGCCGAGTGCCTTGGGATGTAGTAGAGGAGGCGTTCATGCCGGTCGATGGCGGCGGGTGGTGTTTTTTGTTGGGCTGTCGCTGTGGTATACATGTATGTCAAGACATGTACCGAAAGATGTGTGTGAATTGGAAATGGGACGAACACACACATAACACACGTTGTATCAGGAGGGTCTGATAGAAGTGTCCGTTTCCATGGAGGAGGCAATGCATGTGTGTATGGGGGGGGCTAATCTAGAAAGGGTGGAGGTGTGCCTGGAGAGTGTGGGTGAGGAGAAGAAGGTGGCCGTATTGTTTGCGTGGTAATGTTCCTGGCGCTCGGGTTTGTATGCCGCCTGCTGCTGCAGGTCCGTTGGAATCGACGAGATTGTTCCGTTTCGACCAAACCAAAGACCGTTTTCGCTCCGGCTCGCTCGTCTTACCTCGTTTCCCTTGGATTCCGGGCTCCCGTCATCCCTGGTTTTCGTTTTTGTCCACGTGTACCGAACGAACGGAAGCTCAGATCTGCGCCGTGCACATTGGGAAGGGCCTGATGGGAGTGACGGCTGAACAGATGGAGAACATCGTCATCGCGTACGAGCCGGTAAGGCAGACCCCTATATTTGTCCCTAAACATGTAGTCTACTCGCAGGCTGGATTTGTCAATATCCTGGGGGGGGGTGGAGGGGGTTTCACATGTTTTGCGTACGTTGGGAAGTGTGTTGAGCATTAGACCATGTTTCTCTTTCAGAAAATGTACGTACAGAAGCCATTGACTGAGCACCTGTTCTTGTTCTGTGGGACAGGGGATAGGGAACCTCCTTTTTTTTTTTTTGGAACAGTTATTGCATGATCCTTGATGGCGTGGCGATTTCGATGCCACCGCATCTCGGAGGGAGGCCAACAACACGCTGTTAGGACTGTGAGTTTTGGACGTTGTTGTCGGTGCCGGAATTATATTACGTTCTAATTTGGATCGCAGGACATCAGATTTGTTTTCGGGGGGTATGTCTGGTGTTGTAACCAGTGTAGTCCGTCGTAGGTTTACGAGATTATCAGCCGACGGGTGGGTGCCACATGACGATTCTTTGGTTACTTTCGGTTGGCCGTTGCCTCCCTCACTGTGGATGCTCTTGTTGGCTCATTCGCCCCTTTGAATTTTCCTTTGTCTGTCTGTCTGTATGTCTGTCTGTCTGTCTGTCTGTCTCTCCCTCCCTCCCTCCCTCCCTCCCTCCCTCCCTCCTCCTTGCCTTTCGTTTTCCCTCCGTCTCTTCTCTCGCTGTAAAAACTCCATCTATCGATACATGCTCATGTGCAACCCCGCAGGTATGGGCGATCGGTACGGGCCTGACAGCCACCCCTGCGGACGCGCAGGGCATCCACAAGTACGTGCGGTCTTTGCTAGCCGCCAAGTACGGAGACTCCGTGGCGGACAGCGTCAGGATACAGTACGGTACGTCGCAAGATATAAAATGATGTGGCGGTGCCCCCCTAGTCTTACCGAGGATATTAGGCTTGGGGGTAGTAGGGGTTTCGGTCTGGGTTAGGGATGAGGGGTTAGGGTTAGTTTTCGGGAACCCTCCCTCTCTATTTCATAAACATCCTCGAGAAGGCGGTCCGTTCCCCGGGGCCTGTTGTTGTCCAGCCCATCTCGTTGACGTTTCTCCGGCCGCTTGATGTGGGGCCCATTTTTTTTCCCGAGAGGGACCGGGAGCACGGGAGCCCAGCATCTGTCGATCTTAACGATGCGCGATGTCACCCCTCGCCCGGTGTTTCATGAAAGAGTTTTTTCGCCCGCCCTCTTGCTAACCGGCCGCAACGGCACACCTTCACGTGTATTGTTTACGCAAGCAACGCGGTTCTTAAAAGAATAGCCGTCATCAGCACGCCCCCCCCCTATCCCGGCAAATGTCGAGGTCGCGTGTCAGTAGTTCAACCGCTAAGGCGTGCAAAACATGGGTATGACCCACCCCTGCAATCCTGACGCGTGGTGAATGGTCTGACTGATGAGGCATGCGAAACATGCCCCCCCCCTCCCCCTCGGTGTTTACCATCGGGGTTGGGTTTTCGTCGCTTGGCAACGACGTTGTAAAACAAGCCGTCCCCCTCGGTGTTTGCCATCGGGATTGGGTTTTCGTCGCTTGGCAAAGACGCTGTAAAACAAGCCAATTCACTTCGTGAACTCGGGCAACCAGGTTACCGTTTTTTTTTTTTTTACCTCCGTTTTTTTTTTTGGCGGTAACCATAATGGTGGTCGAGTAGATCATGTTGTGCGGGGTGGAGAACCCTCGCTCCGCGCAAGGGGGATGATCGCACCACGTTGTGTTAAAATGGTCAAGCACCCTCGAGGCAGTTACACAGTGCTTACAACTG